ATCTAGGCTTGTTATATCTCCATGATCATTTTCAAACAGATGTCTCCATGTTAAACTTAATGAAGGAAGGTTTGATCGTTAATTAATGTGTATTCTCTGTGCTTTCAGCAGTCTACAACACAACTGTAAATTAGTATGAGAGCTGTGATGCTATACAAGTCTTTTTCATTAGTGATCGGAAAGATATCCTGCATCTGAGTAGCAAAGCTGCAGACTATGTAAGTNCTTATCTCCAATGGATTACACATATCAACAACATTAAACTCATTGAAAAATAACCATAGAGTGAAATGCTCAGTGACAAATGAACACACTATGTCAGCATCTAGGCTTGTTATATCTCCATGATCATTTTCAAACAGATGTCTCCATGTTAAACATAATGAAGGAAGGTTTGATCGTGCTATACAAGTCTTTTTCATTAGTGATCGGAAAGATATCCTGCATCTGAGTAGCAAAGCTGCAGACTATGTAAGTGGTAGGGTGTGAATACGAATGAGGAGAATAGGGAATCCAGCATTAAAAAGGCTCTCTCTGCAGCCCTGCATAAACAACTACATTGATACATGTCGACATAAAGCATGGCACACACACTGCTGATGCTTATTTAGCGGCTACATTCACAAAAACCAGAGCACACTAACATTAGGGATGCTTAAGAATGTAAAATCCTCCCAGGAGAAATGGGACGCCTCACATTATCGCCTCTCCTCCTTTTTTATTCTCACATTTTCTCTCCCCCTTCAGGCACTCTATCATCATAAAAACAAACAGCTCTCTGGAGACAGGACACACACTGTATACATATAACCTATTCAAAGGCTCACACACATTTATGGCACTGTCCCTTTAAGTATTTGTGGCCACATTATAACTGCCATATTGCAGCTGAAATATGGGCAAAGAAAATACTTCAGCACATTATTCATACACAAACTGAGCTTTTTGTGTGTGTGTGTGTGTGTGTGTGTGTGTGTGTGTGTGTGTGTGTGTGTGTGTCCCGATCTACTAATTCCCCTTGACACCTGCTCTATCGGCAACAGAGGTTAATGCAATTATCTTCATATCACTAAATCTGTTCTGCTTTTCACCCAATGAATGCCGGGAGGGCATTGGGTTCTTTCAGGGGCTGTAAAGGAGCATCTGTTTATCTCCCTTGATGCCAGTGCAGAGGGTTTCCATTTCTCCAGCTGACAGGACATTAATGGGGTCAGGGGTCAGGAGCGGGGAGCAGAAGGGCAGTCCCTTTGCTGATTTTTAGAATGCTGCTGAGGTCATAATGTACATCTATGAGGCAAAAGTCAAAATGTGCAGGGTAGACCTTGAGGAGAAGAAGTACTACTTGCTCATAAAATCCAGTGTTCTATTTTTATTAGCTCTAAACCTGAAAGGAAGCAGGTATTTTGTGTCCATTTTCAGGTTAAAATGTATGCGTAGGTGATCATTACATTACATTTTACATTACATTACATGTGCTTTAACAAGCAATTTGGGGTTAAGTTTCTTACCCAAAGATGGTGGTTGAACTACTGACCCTCTGATTGGTAGATGCCCATTTACCCACTGAGATGCAGCCGGACAAATCAACACCTTTCACATGACACAGACTTAATGGAACAATTTTTGAAATAAAAAAAATATGGATTTAGGGTAGTTTCCCCCTATTCCAAACCATCTGTCAGCATCACATGTATACAATTAGGTATCAACTGATTTCAGCTCTTCATTGAATTTATTATTCAAGTTTATTATAACATATATAATATATATATGATCCAAAAACATCATATATAATAGTAAAATTACACTGACAGCGAAGATTTTACCGCATAAAAATGACTTTTACCTGATATACTTTCAGTGGTGACAGTACTTACATACTTTTACTTCATAAGGTTTTGAATACAGAAATTGTACATGCAGTAAAGTATTTTCCCAATGTGGTATTAGAACCTTTACATAATTAAATGATCTGAATACTTTATCAAATTCTGTGAAAAGTAAGTATGAATTGGTAGATAAAAAAAAAGTCCTGTTGTTTCTCTTGTTTTACCTAACAGCATAATCTTTGCACATTTTGGATGATACAGTAGAATGCAGATACGTTATTTCCACTGATTCCTTGGCCAAAAGGGGATCAAAAATACAATTTGAACTTACATGCATGAATTGCAATCTGAGCTCCTGGTACGGTGTGTTTTCCAGCAGGTAAGTGTGTACACTGGGTCGTGTGATGAAAACGATGCCCTACTTTGCTTTTGACATCTTCTGTCTGCCCTACTTTACCTGACAGCTTCCCAGTACCACCAGCTGTCTCTACTGGGGGGTAGAATATCTAAGTTGTGATGATATTGTGGGGTTGACTATTGTTGCTTTTACACATATTTTACCCAATGAAATGTTTGCGAAATATCTTTTAGTTGTGTTGATATTGAATAGTATAGAGAAAAAATAATCCTAGTATTGTAAACTTTAAAAATACATAACTTTAATGATTTTCACCCTTTGAAAAGATGAACACTTCCGAAATCATGACAATATCTTGTTTCATATCACAATATCAATATAATATAGATGTATCGCCTAATTCTACCTTAGCGTAGGGTCCATTGCTCAAGTGAAGACATACTTCTCCAGACATGAGAACCATTAACCAACATCAGTATGTACTCGGTGTGTGTTTTAACTGTATCCTCACCTCATTGCCATGCACCATGAGGTGGTGTGTGGTGATCAGGGCTTTGTAGACCACCACCCAGCTGGCGTTTCCGACCCTTTCCAGCAGCGTGTCGGCCAACGAGGGGATGTTCACATTGGTGTCCTGGGTGGCCTGGATCAGGTCTGAGGAGCATCAAAGAGAGCAGGAGCAGAAGGTCACATGGTGGACATTATACAGTGTGTGCTGAGAGGAATTATTGAATGAAGTAATGATAACAGATGGGTGAGAAATTACAAACAGAAGGGTGTTAGAGTTCATGTGCTGGGACTGCTGCATCTTATAGCAGCACTCTCTCGCATTCTAATTTCTAGTTTAACTCTGTATTTTCCTAAGCAGTGTTTCCTCAAAGAAACAAATGTGTGAAAATCGAGTAAGTGTACTTGTGTACACTTTTAAAAATATTTTTCAGAAAATAATCATGGCAACAACATCTTTGTCTGACTTTAAAAAAACACAGGTTAGGTGCAGGCCCGCCCCTCCCTACACGCAGATCACGCAGACTGCGTGGGGCCTCATCTGATGCGCAGATGCAGCGCACTTCAGCTTATGCGCAGATGCAGTGCAATTAAGCAGGGGCAGCCCTGGTTAGGTGTTTTGGAATGTTTTTTTCTCCAGGTGCTTCACTGTCTTTTTATAACGATGCAGTTATAAAAACACAGATTGGAAAAACTGCTGCGCATGGTTCGTCTAGTCGGTGTATGTTTTCTGAAGGCTCTGCATGCATTGTGAACCAGGTGAAGATGTTTCATTATTGGCATGTGTTGTGGCATATTTGTGTGATTATTGCATTGTCTACTGTACCACCATGTTATCAACTATTTAGTAATGAGCAAATCTAACCCAAGCACAAGGATCTCCTCTTCATCAACACAATTGCTTCTGGAGGCTGCAGTCCTCCATCTTAATGAAATGTATTTCAATAAGTGCTTCACATTTTGCCACTTTTGGTGTGAGTCACACTCACTTCTTCTTTGTTCATTCCAGCAGCCACGCATTAATACCAGCACAGGCAGAGTGGAATATTCCACAGCAGAGAAACAGAGAGGAACCAGGAGGGGAGGGTTGTATTACAGATCAGACGATCAGCTTTATGGATCGGAACAGACAGAGCTAAAGAAACACACAGAGAGACTGTCCTGGGGATATAGTGTTATCCTGATAAGCCCTGATGTAATACAGCTGACTCTGTAACTCATATAACCATGTTCTCATTCATATGATATTCAATCAAATGATCACTTTTACTCCTGAAGAGCTCTTTACCTGTTTGTTATAATATAAGTATTAAATAATCAATTTAAATATAACTGTTATATAATTCATTGTATGTAGGATATACATTAACATACATATCAGTGGAAGGACAAGAGTACAATCATTTTGAGGCATTTTGTTCAAAGCTGCACTAAGCAGTATTATTTTATGTGTGTTCCCTTGAAGCATTTTAGCTTCTTTTAGCTCATTGTTTTGGTTTTACAGCCACAACTTTACTGATTTGGATTAACACTTTCATCAATATCATTTTTAACCTATGCAGGCAGATTTCTACAGTGATAGAAACTGTATTACACCCACCAAACCACAGACAGACAAAGTTAGAAAGTAGAGCATATCCCAGTTCAAGTGCCAGATATTTCACTCAACAGTAGGCGGAAAGCAAGAAAAAGTTTGAATGAATATAGAACACTTATTGGGAGGTGAGAAACAGGCACTGAATCATGGCTCATGTCTGATGGATGTGTCTGTTAAAATATTCGGTGATATTTGAGTAAGTAACAATATGTCAGATAATTCTTCACCCGCGAACTGGCTGATTCTCATTACCATGTCAATTTGAATAATGCTAGCCAATTATGTAACTTGTTGTTTTTATCCTAAATAATAATATTACATGATATCTTTATGGAACCTTTGCAAGAGTTCAAAGACGCTTTACACGCTAATAAATGAAATAACAACATTGTGTAAAAAAATCCTAAAATGATTGGAAGAGGAAGTGAAAGTGGCAGGGGGGTAAATGATTAGCAGTTGAACGCGGGAGTGAAAAAGGTGACTTTTGAGGGTGTTTTTTAATGATAGGAGTGTGTTGCCATTGTGATTGTGACTGGAGAGGGAGTTCAGAGGGGGGGGGGGCGCTACAGCGAAGGCCCTGTCGCCCATGGTCCGGAGCGTAAAGTTATGATCGGTTAGCATCAGCAGACCTGAGGCGACGGGTAGGGTTGTGTCTTAAAGGGGGACACAGAGTTGACGAGGTTGTTGATGGATTTTTAAGTGAGAAGTTATATTTTGAAGTCAATCCGTTGTTTGATAGACAGCCAGTGGAGGTGTGTGGTCTGAGGGATCGCTGGAGGTGAGCATGCGTTCAGCGGAGTTTGGACATGTTTTTTTAGTATGTCCGCAGGTCAACCATAAAGGATGCTATCGCAGTAATCCAGTCTGGATGTTATGAAGGCAGGGACGAGATTTTCAGCCACGGTGAATGTGACAGGGGGTCGGATAGGGAGGAAAGGGAGGGTGGGCTCGATGATGATGCTAAGGTTACGGATGTAAGTGTTGGTATGGAAGAGAACAATCATCCTATACTTTCTCACTGTTAGCATACTGTTATAATACCTAATAAATGAGAGCAATATGAAGTTGATTTCCTTCCTAATGATTGGGATAACATAACAAATATATATATTAACTATCAAATATGTGAGCTGTCCTCCATGGCAAACCTGAGGTCATATCTTCAGAGACAGTTTGAGGAATAAGGTAAGAAAGTAGGTGTGCATGCGTGATGGACAGAGAGGGAGATCAAATATGACCGGCCTCTTTTTAAAAGCCTTGATTCAGCAGAGCAGAGCATCTTCTATTGAGTCCTGTGATTCATTAATAGTGTCATATCCATCCTGCATGGTTACTGCCAGCAGACTGAGGCAGCAGAGAGGTGTCTATTGATTCTGCCTGGCTTAATATAGAATAAATGGCAGCTCACCTGCAAACACGGAGCAATCTGTCACAAGTTAGAACGACATGAAATAAATTGGATTTTGACATCATGCAAAATGCACTTTTTGATGTATTTTATACATAAATATGTGTCCCCGGTGTGTCAGGGAACTCACGCAGTGTCAGAAAATAAAACCCTCTCTCTTTTCCTCCGTACCCAAATCTCTAAAAACGGGGCTACAACGGAGCTGATCTAGATTTGCGTCCGATATGACTTAATATCTGAAATGTGGACCCACGGCACTATCATAAAGTTGCTATCAGAAACAATGCCCGTCTGTTTTGGACGTAATATGGTCGGTGTTTACACTAGCATCGCTAACACTCAGAGCTAACCTGTACAGGAGAGCATGTTTGTGAAGAAGCTGGATATAAAAAGGAACTCATCTTGTGGTATAACCGGCAAGAGAGAAAGCCTTTGAGCTCCATACTGTTTCAGAAATAATCCTTGATAATCCATGATATGGCGTTTCATCACAGCAGTATTTAGTTTAGACAGTAGCTGCCGGGTCCCGCATGAGCTCAGCCCCCTCCTTTTTTTTTTTTTTTAAAGCTTTATACCCAAAATCAGCACTTTTGAAACAGGAAGTGAAATAGAGGGATATGAGGCATGGCTAGAATGGGTGATCTGTTTAGTATTTTGAGCAAAACACTTTATAGACATGTTTTTTATACATTTGTATAAGACCTATGCTATTGCCTAAAAATAGCATGATAGGTGACCTTTAATATAATCCATTGTTGGGGTTGTTTTTTAAAGGGATTTGTTAATAATAATAAAAATATATAAAATCAGTCTTATCCTTCAAGTACCTTGATCACAATAATAACTACAAGTTGGACATGAGATTTCAAAGCCAAATAAAGAACGTAAAAGATCTTTACCCAACAATCTTTAAAATCATGAAATCATCCAAACATAACATAACAAGCATATGGATTTGGTGAAAAAGGGATAAAACCAATTTGCAGAATACAGATTGAGCAATTGTGTCATGTCTCGCAAATTATGTTAGTTAGTTTTTGTCTTTGTCTAGTGATTTTCCCCTTTATTTTTGAATAGTAACCTTCCCTCTCGTTTCAGATACTCTGACCTCCCTTCCTTGTGTGTCTCCCACTCCTGTGATTGTCGACCCCGCCCCTGATTGTTTCCACCTGTTCCCCATTACCTGGTGTATTTATTGTCCTCGTCTCCCTTTGTCCTGTGCCAGTTCGTTTCGTTCCTTGTGACTACCACCAGCATTAGCAATCCAGGATTAACCCCAAGCAGAGCTTTGAGCCACGTCTTGTTTAAGTATTTTTGTTGTTCATGCTCCTAGTGTTTTTCCTCTTTAAGAGTGATTTTGTTTTTTGTACCACTATCGTTGAGCTTTGGTTTGAATAAAACCTTTTTTTTGTTAAATTCTGTGAGTTGTGCATTTGAGTTCATACCCGTTTAATCAGTCGTAACAAATTGTGACTAATGCTAATAAGGAGCTGTTTCTAACAAAGCCATTTAGTTGCTTTGAATTGATCAAACTACTATAGTTGCTTCCTTTTCCAGCGAGGATGTTTATGGTTTGTTTGTTCGTCTGACTCTCCACTGGATTACGGAAAAACTACTGGCCCAGTTTTCATGAAAATAAGCTCATGGAAGAACCCGTGAAATGTTGGTGCAAATCCGGATAACAGGACGATACAAATATTATATTTCACTTTGAATATACACACACACACACACACACACACACACGTTGGCATTCACATAATGTTCCAAGATTCACCTTATGTTGGAACAACAACTCAGAAAAAGCAATCAAAGTTTACTTTTTAGTGTCCATGCCTATTCCATATTTTGACCTAAAGCACTTGAATCCACCAAAATGGGAAGAGCGACTTCACTACTTGGGAAATGACGACCTCCAAGGAGCATGTAAATGCACCGTTGGCCTTGGCTGAGATTTGTGCTTTCCCAATGAGTCTGGATTACTCTACATCCAGACTAAAGATGGAGATAGAACTAATGATGAAGAGTCTCAGGATTTAGTGATTCTCTTTATCATGAGAACTATAATCTTTGACCAGTGATTTTCATTTCCTGCTTTATAACTCATGTTTTTATTCCCATGAATAAATCAAGTCCAGCAGC